ATGCAGCTCCTCCTCCTTCCTTGATTACTCTTCTGCACCTGTCACCGCCACCATTCAGTTGAAGACTAATTAAAAAAAAATTATTGTTCCAAATGCTATCACCTCATAAATGAATTGATACAAACAATTGGCTTTGACCCAAGAGACACTTTCCCAGGGAAAATTTTGCAACTCACATTATGGTGACAATTTATTCAGCCAAAGGTCAACATATTGCAGGTGTTCAGCTTATTGTTTTCAATCTTGACATTTCTGCAAAAAGATTTTATTTGTAACTGGCATTTAATCCAATTCTCCTCATGTCAACTTCACAGGCATTGCCTGTTGAATACTGTCAACACTTGGCTCGTTGTACAAACAAAATGACCAAAGTTTGTTGGTTCCCACTCCTTTTCTTTTTCCATCCTTTCTATTGTCTGGGTTCTTTGGTTGGTCGTAGTCATCCCTAGGTCAAATCAACATTGTAATCTTTCAGGGTCGATCTTTGGCAGACAATCACCTGGGTGGGGGTATCACAAGCAGTTGCTGGGATGAATCTGTTGTCTTTCTCCTGTCTCTCTCTGACGAATTCACTTTGTGCATTCACATTTATTGATATTTGTTCAAACTGGTGCAAGGCTCTGCACATAGGGGGATTTTGTTAAATCCTCTTTGTTGTCAGCTTACTTTATAATTCTGGTGAATTCCCTTCTTCCACTCTCTCATATTATTGCCTCTCAATCTCCTCAGTGAGCATGGGTGGCTTATCCACCCCTTTCTGTTATTTCAAATCAATTTTCAACTAGGAGAAATTAACTCCAAATTTGTTGTTTATGAAAATGAAGTTCTTGCTTTACAGCTTGCATTTTCAGCTGCATAAAAAACATGTCAATCATCTTTACCCTCTAAGTCTGGGTCATTTTCCATTATTCAAACCAATTCCAGGTGTCATCTGTATGTGAATTAAATTGTCAATCTTTTCTGACAGATTTTATGTATTAACCCTCTTTGTTCCAAAGTCTTTCAATATATCATTTCCTTTAAACATAAAACTTTCTTATGTTTTACAAAGGTAACAACAAATAGTATCACACTTATCTTTTTGATTAACACTGGGCAAAATTCAGAATATTCGATTATGTTTCTATTTAAATGGGTAAGTGCAAAAATTGGTAAACTTTTAGAGAAAAATATTTTGTGCACTTATTCTTTATGTTAATTAGCAAATTTCTCTTGGTAGAGTTAGTTGTGCTGTCAAAATCAACCTACCGCAATGTACACACATATGTACTAGCACCCATATAAATGTATCAACACTTCGAGTGTGCCTCCCCCAGCAAAAAAAAAAAAAAAAAATAGGTTTTTTGAGAATTTTGAATTTGTATGTCTACACTTGAAAATCAGTTCCTTCCTTTGATTTAACACCTGGTTAGCATTTCTGTATTTGATTATTGCAATTTTTTCTTGTATACACAGATCGCATCTGTCCCGGAAGTTGTTGTGGGTTTGACCCAACAACTTCCAGGACAGATGATTTCCCATTTGATTAGTGGGGTGAAACCACTGTGACACCTACTGTGATACCTTTATTCCTCTCAACTCTGATATTGAAACTTTAGACCATGTTTTATCCAGATATTCTACCCGAGACTCCTTGTTTGAGAGAAACTTCTTCCACTGCTGAGGAAGGAACTAGCCATGGATCCTAATCATCTGGGAGCCACTAGCTGTTCTTTTGGTCTCTCAGTCTAAATTATAGGTTTTCCTGAATAATTAACAAGGGCATGGAATAGGCTTGCCTTATTGCTCTTAACAAGGGATCCTTGTGTATTTGCAAGTGACAGTGGCAATGGATCTAAGGAATATGTTAATAGTTCCTGTAGATTGATATTTTAAAATCTACCAATCACAACCAATCTTGCTAAAAGATTTCTGTCAGCCTTCAAAGTAATGTCTTTTCCCAAATAAAATAAATAAAAGAATTATTAGCAAAGAATTTAGTTTTGAATTTAAAAAAAAAAATCAACAAAATTATGTTTGTTTATATTTTTTCGTTAGATAAGAAAATAAAGAGAAAATAAAAGCATTGTTAGCTATGAAGTTAATTGTCTGTTCTGGAAACTCAGAAATAAATTTACATTTTTCAAATATATTTTTTTTCTGGTGTCAATAAACTTTATTTATTTATTGAATTTTTATTTTATTCACATTTTATGAACTCATCTATGTGTGTCCATGCTTCAATAATTAATGCACTGTCTGCTGGTCAGATAGAATAAAATCAGCTTTCTACTTTATATTATAGATGAAGTTTATTAGCAATGATAAAGATCTAAAAGAGTTTTAAAATTGTTCTGTAAACAATGCATTTCAATTTTTTTCAGAAACAAATATACATCAGAGAATTTTTTCATGTGAATATAGGCAGTATATATATTTTTTTTTAATTGAATATCAGCAATTCTCCACAAAAAATAATTTTTGATCATTTTTATGTCTTTTAAGATTTTGGTCCATATTTTCAAGGTGTTTACAGTCAATATTAATTATTTAGGTTTATAAAAACTAAAAATTAGGAACATTCAAAATTCACAAGTATGGATTAGTTTGAAGTTAAATAAAGTTAAGGTGTATAACTGACTTGAGAAATATACTTCAACAAAACTTAAGAAAAAAAAAGATTCAATATGAAGTTCATTCATTAATGAATTGAGGTTTCAAATTTTGATGAAGCTGATTCTCTGATTTAGAGGAAATTTTTAAAACAAGGTTTTTTTTTGTGTGCTGAAACTGTGTATGATTTTGGAAGTACCTAGAGTACATCTATGACAAGTAATCCTTTTAGACCAAAAACAGAGGTAGCAGACAAAAGAAACACAAATTGTGAACAAGAAAAATTTTCTTTCTGGGTCTGAAAAAGCAGATGAGATTCAGCTGGATTTCAATTTTTCCTGCCAACAGAACAGAAATGATTTACAGGAAGTGAAAAACTGTCTGTTCAAAAGAAAACACATTCATTGAGAACCTAATTTAAAAATGCAAAAAATTCAAGTTACACTTTGGGTGTATATAATTATTCTGAAACTATTGATGGTAATATTTTTTCCTCAAAAATGTATAGCTGGTAATATTTTTTTTTCTTCAAAAATTTATTGCTGGAAATAATTTTTTTACAAAGTATTTCTGGTATTAAAGCCTGTTTTTACCATTTCATAGTGTTTTTACCCCAGTTTCAGGGCAAACTATTTGTCCATAGCTGGGACCCTAACAGGTGCTACCACACCAGGTCAGAGTGGACATGGGAACACGAGCAATTAAGAGGTGGCTCCACACTTCCAGAGGCCTTGTTGTTGGATGTAGTTTATCATTTTACCCAAGACGCGGATGTAGTTTATCAACATACCCAGGATGAGCCATGCCTAGAAAATCACCATCTTTGTGCTTCTCACCCATAACAATCAAAGAGACATACATCTGAAGAAAATTATTATTGCTATTGTTATCTGATGGTGGCTTGTCTGACTTTAATCAAAACTACTCAATGATGCCTTCTTTAAGTGGTGCACAAGGAATGTGCCACACTTGGTATATCTTATGAGTTGATATGCAACTAAACAAAAACAATCAACCAACATTGACATACTTTAGGTATTCCACTGTCTGCACCACAACACTGGGGGTCTAATACAATTGTTGAATTCTTTGTTTAATTTCCTGTTTTAAATTTATTCTTAAAATAATGCATTACTCAGATTCCAAATCTATCTGCATGTGCAGTGAAGAATTGTTGCTGCATGAGAGAGCAGCATGCCAACTAAATAATGCTGCTGAAGTACAAATATACAAAGCCTGATATGTCCACCATGACACACAGTCTGATAATGGTATACCAGGTACATGCATCACAGCCAAATGTGCACACTATGATGAAGTGTTTTGACAAAGCAATACATAACCTTGTAGGTGGGGCCCAATTAAAAATATCTTCAAGTCAGGTAACCTAGCCCCCTAGAGCTTCTCCAATTGAAGGTTTTCCAAAGTATCTAAATATGACTCCTAAAATGCCTACTGAACTTCATCCTAAAAGTTTCAACATCTGTGAATGATATTCCCCATCTATTCCCACTCATTAACAGAAATTTATAGTGTGTCAATACTTAGGAAACAAGCCCAATTGGTTAAGATCAGGCATTTCATAAGCAAATCTGAACAGGATATTTACTGAAGCTCTTTTTCATTCACCAAACAAAACATAAATATGTTAACACCTCTGTTGGTTCCAATCCTAAAGGAATCTTTATTTACTTATCTTTTTATAGATTGATTTGTGGCAAAAGGCTGTGGAGAAAGGCTGGTCATCACTGACTATTCTACACCTAGCTAATCTGATTCATGACCCATTCAAAGGAATGACTGCATAATACTTCCCCTCCCCAATTTATTGGCAAAACCACACAAATGCATACTGGGATTTCTTCCGAGCCAATAAAACAAGCCACTTCTTGGTCTCATCTGTCTTGTCATGAAATCATAATACTACATTCATTTATCCAAATTCACTCTTGTGTGTCAGCACCAATTCTTAGTTTGTGAACTTTTTGTCTTATTACTGTTGCTTTTTCTTGCATATATTGTTTGCTTGCTCAATATTATTTTTTGCTCTGTTCTTTTCTTTTTATTGTTTATTACAACTTTGTCAATTCTGTTTGTTTGGGCAGTTCTATCATTAACATTTAACCATGGCCATTTACTCTACAGCCTCCAGTCATTTAAAATCCAAAGCCATGAGAACCATGGTTATTCTCCGGAAATGAGAATTATACTAGTCTACAAAAGTTCTGATGGAAGCAAATTTATACTTTTTCTTAGCTAATTTTTGAACACTGAGTCCAAAAATCAAGTCCCTTTTTACGTATTACTGCTACATTTTGTTATATCGAACTTGAGTATTTAAAAATGGCTACTTGTAGCCAAATTTTCCATTAATGCTCAGCCTAATTCTGAATGTCTCCTAGCTTACAGCTACATCACCTTGAAACACTGGTTCCCATACAATTACTGAAGTTAAGAAACATTGAGCCTGGTCAGTACCTAGATGGGTGACTGCTTGGGAATAACAAGTTCTGTAAGCTTGGATGTGCAGCTGATGTAATGATAATGTCTTGGAATTGTTAATTGGAGAGTCAAGTTCCAATTCCCTTTGGGTTTGGTATATTCACTTACATGCAAATACCCTTGGGAAAGGTATGAATCAACCCATTCTCTTCCCCCAGCTATGCACTAATTAGTGAAACTAGTATCACTAAATCATTATTATCTAAAAAGAATTCTTACAATCTAAAAATATTTGGCTTTAAATAACCTGCAAATGGTTGATAAATTGTAAAAAAATGACTGAATGAATCCGTCAATGTCCCCTGCAAAAAAGCACGAATGTTATTGAATTCTTGATTACACAAACACCTGATTTTTATATTATGATGATAATGACAGTGTAATTGCATTGTTCTAAGTTATAGATGTCCTAGGATATAATTACTTTACATAGTCTGCAATAAACATTAGTTTCTAACAGAAATGTTTATCAGTAATGTCACTGACAAATACGAAAAACTTTTTCTCAAGAGTTATTAAGTAAACTGTTCTAAACAAGACCTAGTGCATTACTTCTCTAAGTTTATACAACAAAGATTCCAGTACAAGACTCTAAATAGCAGACAACCCAATCAAATGGACTGTGAGAATGCAAAAGGATTCTACTGTTCTCCATCTATGGGCACCCAAGAACATTACATATGGAAAATAGCGCCTATGGCGAACAATAAAATTGTACCACTGACCAAACATTTGACACAGTGACATTTATCTTTTAGATTAAATTCCATAGATTATGCACAAAATTCTAGTCTATCTCTCTATTTTTCCATATAGTTTGCATACTTTCAAAAGTAGACGAGGGAGTTTGAAATACTTAGCTTTCTTAGATTGTTGAGAGAAAAATTCTTTCAAGTGCTGCATACTGATTAGATGACGCTAATATAATTGGCGAGTAATTTTATACTGGCGAGTACTTCAACGCTGGTCATGTGAAACAGAATTGAAACCTTTCACATGACTTCAGGCACTTATCATTAATTTTTCTCCTCATTTTATATAAAAAAGAATTTTATATAGGCTCACTACTTTCTTTCCTTCTTGGCTCACTGGCTAATTTCTGTGAGCAACGAACGCTCTTTATCTTAAACCTTTTTAACATTATTTCATGTCAGATCTGTTGTATGAACATTTCCTCTTCATGAAAATAGGTTAAAATTACAGACTTTAAGAATTCTGATTTGTTTTCCTGAAGTGAGTTACTGACGCTACTTCTAGCGTGTAAATTTATGAATAAATTCCTTATCTTATTTCATTAAAAATTACCGGCGTGTTTCCTCGTCATTACCATCCTTCATTAACCTTCTTGAGATGGGTAAATCAACTGGTCATTTTAGCCCCTAAGTCTAAACCTGGCCGAAAAATTCCAGAAGTTTGCGGGACCAGAACTTACTTATTTATGACTATAAATCTACTTACTAAAATAAGACAGGCTTATAAAAAAAAAAATTAAAAAGAAAGGAACGCTGGAAAATAAAATAATTTTGGCCAATCAAAAAATATTAGCACATTGAAACTAAGGTTTGCGCTAGGGTCTACGACCTGGGTCAAAAGTGCATAAGCTTAGCTCTGAGCTTGAGCAGGAGAGTGACGGCAACAGAAACCATGAAACAAGAGGCGTGACTGCTAGAGAAACCAGCCATGTGTGACGCGTGAAATAGTTAAGAGGTTATCTGTTAATGATATTTCTGCCCTTTTTAGAGCCGAGAAAAAAAACAGTAGATTGACACTGACCTATTTCTAAGTCTAAGATGACTACTACTACTACTACTACTAGTAGTAGTAGTAGTAGTAAGGTATGACTTTGAAATTACTCACTACCGAATCGAAATGGACATTTCTCCAGACTGCTCCCAATATCAGTCTTATAAACGATCATTTTTGCTACACCAATATCAAAGGACTCACTCTAAATCAAATATTATTTATATTATATCATTGAGTCGGTTCGTTGTATTTCAAAGTTAAGATTTATTAAAAAATAAATAAAAATACACAATTATGGTACAAGGCCGAAAAGGGGGAATGGGGTTGAGGCTGGTCGTCATTTCCTATCCTACACCTAGCTAATCCGATTCACGACCCATTTATTCGTTACAATTGACACATTCACCACAAGAACTCATCCATTGCCAATCAATCCTCCATCTACCATAATACCGCATACTCTCGGGGGGGGGGTTTAAAAACGCACCCCTTGACATAAAAATTTCATTTCATGATTATGAAATATTATACATAAAAATGTGTACATGATATAAAATGAGAGGAGAGGGGATGAACCTAAAAAAACAAACTAAAATATCAAAGACAAATTAAAGATAACTGATCTTAGCTGAACCTGTCTAGCCTTCAAAAAGGACGCTTTTTCAGATCTGCGAATGTTAGTGACGGGAATGCCAATTTAAAAGAGATTCCTGCATGGATGGTCCCCGTACTTCTCCACGCCTCATTATATAAGGCAGTAAAGCTAACATATCCGATGGACGTTGGTGGTATTGTCTTGGATGGACGGATGTCCTCGGAGATGGGCACAGGGAGTCTAGGACAATGTATTTCTATTTCAAAGTTTCCGGTAAATAAATGCTAAGAATATCTTAAATTAAGAATTGGTGATCCAGGAAGAATAAGGACGGATGATCAGAATAATTGAGCAGACACTGGAATTGTTACTTCAGCAGACGAAAATAATTGGAAATATAAAATAGAGACTCGGGTAGGGTAGATTCAAAGAAATAGAAAACACCTAAAAAAAAAAAAAAAAAAAAAAAAGTAAGAGATGTACCAAACAAAAAAGATTAAAGCAGCTATGAAAAGGACAATAATAGGAGAGATAAACAGTATGTTATTAAAATCAACTTTAGGTCGGAAAATACGTAAACCTGGATATTTGAACGACTATGTATGAGTTGATAAAATGAAAAAAAAAAAAAAAATAATGACAAAAAAAGATTTTTAACGATAATATCAATCAGTTATGTGCCATGCGTAATACACGCTTAGGCGATCATGTATCTTTCGATACATGACTGACGAGACATATTTTTCCCACAGTAGGTTGCCATTTCTTTCTGTGGTAGACCAGTTGCCATCCAAGGCTATAGAACCCGGTCTCTCCTGCTATTTACCCATAACTGGGGGGGGGATTCATATTTTTCCCAAGGGTATTAGCATGTAAGTGAATGTAATGGATTCAACTGGAATTTGAATTCGGCTATTCGATTCCTCAATCCGAGCCGCTATCCATTGCTCCACCATGCCTCCTATAATATCAGTAAGTTAGGTTATTTGAAAAATGAATAAAAAAATGTATTTCATTTTTATTTTTAAAAGAAAGGGAGATGTTTAATAATAGTAAAATTAGGAAATAATAGTAAAATTAGTAAATAAAACTTGCCCCCCCCCCTGCATGTATCATTCACGGTCCTTTTTTTTTTTTTTTCTTAAAATGAGTTATTAAAATGTTGGTGAGTTAATAAGCCGTCTTCCCGTCTTTGTGAGACGCTTCGCGCTTTAAGTAATGGCTTTAGTGTGCTACTGCTATCCCACTGATGAAACAGATAGTTGCTCAGAATGAGAAATTAGAGAGCCGAGTTAATTTCATTCATTTATGCACAAATACCATCTCTTCTCTCCCAGCTATGCGTTAAAAAGTAGGACAGACTGGGATACTTAGCCTTGTTTGGTAACCATTCTACGAGAAGGACAATTCTGAATTCAAAACCCGAGGAGGGCTGATTGTGGACTTCGTGGCACTACGTCTCTGTATTCATTTATTTTGAAAAATGTAGATGGCTCTGTCAAAGTTTTCACTACTTGGGAACACAAATAGTAGCATATTGTATTGGGTCTCCTGGGTCCTAATATATGCGTAATCAAAGCCATTATGAGGGGCGTCCCGACGAGCGACCTAATGCAAAAAAAAATCAATCAAAGAACACCATGAATTGATTAATAATAATTAAATAATAATGCAAAAACGATACACTAGTTTATGAACTACATTAATGAAATTTAAAATTTAATTTATAAGCTGAACAACCGATTTCTGATGATCAGAAAACAATTAAAAAATATGGCCTCGCATTTGCACATGCGCAGTACACATGATTGGCGCAAGTAATTTGCAATTGAAAAAGACAATACAATCAAATTTTATAACGAATAGAAAATTTACCCTTACAGAGTTTGAAAATTATTGTCAAAATTTTATAAAGAGGTTTTACGTCTCTGGGAAGATGTTCACGAAAAAAAAAAAAGTTTACGTAAGCTTACATAAAAAAGTAAAACCTTACTTTTGCATTCCTTAGTGAAGAATGAGATGACAGAATTCAATTAATTTTCTTTTGTATAGTCAATATTGCTGAGTATACTAAAATCTTTTAAAACAATAAAAATTTTAGATTGAAATGAAATTTGACGCAAATATTGGTTGCTTTTTTATTATCAGTGGGGAAATACTCACTCCCCAAAACAAAATTGTACTCTTGATCGACACTTCTGAATTAAAATGAGCACCGTTGTAACGATACTTTTTTCTTGGGTAGATTATTACAATATAGAATAAAAAAAAAACATGTGGTATGGTTGAAAAAAAAAAGGAAGGGTCATTTAATTTTGCTATATGTGTGTGTGTGTATATATAGCAAAATTAAATGGGTGAGGGTTTGAGACTTTTCTGTCGCTATTCAGAACTATCATCTACCATAAAGACAGTTTAAACCTCTGTATTTCATGATTTTTTTTTTTTTAGTTTGAAATAAATACAGTTCATTTCTTAAGACAGAAATCGTCTCTGAACATTTTTCACTAATCTCATCGAAAAGCAAAGGAAGCAAAATGTTGCATTTGTGTTCGTATTCAATATTTCCTGCACCTTGGAAAAATTCCCCAAGATTACGGCAAGCAAGATCAACTCTAGAAGACAACGGGTTATTTACAGAAGAAAAGCAGGTAGGTTAAAAAAAATAAATTTATTTAATTCATGTGATATTGAAATTTAAGGAGTAATTTTTCCCCAACCGGAGAAATTACGAAACAATATTGCAAATTATTTTTAAATTTGTGTTTTATTCTACATATGGTAGATATCTCGTTGTTTAAGAAAGAGTAGTTGAATTGAGTACCATTTTTCATTTTTCCTATATTGTGTTTTTATTGTTTTATATTGAGTATTGTATTGACGTTTATTGTGCCGCTTTCCGATGCGCTAAAATAGACATCTCGGAACTTTCATTCCACTCGCCTAGTGAATTCAACAAAAAAAAAAAAAAATAATAATAATAAATGAACTACCTTTTAACAAAAAATATTTAAATGATATTGTGTTTTTTTTTCCAATTCAAACTTTAATATTGGGATAATTTGCAGTGTAATCACCGCGCTCAGTTTCTCTAATAAAAGATTTCGCGAACAGTAGGTGTACAAATGTACATGCTTAATCCGAAAATATCACCTGTAAGAAGCAAAAGTCGCATTTCAAAGTTAGTGTCTATCAACAAGCTTTACAAATATTCCATTCCCATTTTTATTTTATTTTCCTCCGACTATTTTTCTTTTCGTCCCTATCTGTAAGTTTTTCAATTGTTTTGGATGACCCCCACCCATTTCAGAAAACAGTGGCAACTCTTCCCATCTCCTATCTTGGTTATAGGGTGAGTCGAATACTGATCCCTTCCTTTTGTTTGTTTTACTCAATTTTTGGCTATTTTTGTCCCCATCCAACAATGAATTGATATTTTTTTGTTTATACTGTCGATCCAATTGTAACATTGTTCTTTTGTTTTAAGTATTGTGAATATACTAACTTTGGAATCTTTCATCTTAAAAATTAACTCCACAAGGCACAAAGTGACAAAAAAACGGTTTTTTTGACGATAAAATTTTGTTTTTTGTGCATTTTTTTAATAATTTTTTTTAATCGAATTTTTAGCTAGAGGTACCAAAGTTTTTGAAGGTACATGTAACATTGTGTACCACCAACAAATGCGATGTCTGAGTTTAACTTTCTTTCTTGAAGCTTTAAATTTTAGCTTTAGTTTTTAATTAATTCCAAGTTAAACGTAATATTTCCAATGAGCAAAATATTTTGCTGTATTTCAAACTGAATTTTAATTGATTGCTATCTCTTAAAATTTCATAAAATTAAATGAGTTGGGGGTAACAGATGTAAAAAAAAAAAAAAATAAACCATACAAGATTTTCTAAAGAAACGTTAAAATATTTTTAATTTATTTCTGAGTAAGACCTGAAAGTTTCACTAAAATCCGCCAATTAGCCGATTTTTGCAAGAATTTACAAAAAGAATTTTTTTCACCGAATAAAAAATCGCTCAAATTTCCAGTACAAATTTAAAATCTCGAAAAGTAAGATTTTTTTTAATTTTTTACCAAAACCTGTAAGGTTCTTAAAAAAAAATAACAATTTTGTGCATAAAAATCATTTGATCTTACCTGTTAAATCTTTATTAACAAAAATTTCGACGATAAATTTGTTTTATTAAATTTGGGGCGTTTTTTCACTAGGCATCATCCGTTTTTAGCGATTTTTGGAGAAACCTCTGTCTCTTTCTATGTATTTCTCTCTTAATGATAAATGTGTTTGTGTAAAAATTCAGATATTAATAAAATTAAAAAGAAAATAACAAGAGGGAAACTTATTGACGTGTTTCACTCCTTGATTTCAACATTTTCCTTCCTCAAGAAACGAAATGCGTCCGCATAAAAGGTTTTACTTTTGATTGACAGGGGTGTGCAAAAGTAGGTATACAGTAAATATTATACCAGTGATTCTACTATTCATTTACGTTTTTTTTTTTTTTGTTTTTACTGTATACGTACATTTACATTCTCTCTGTTATATATATTTAGAAGGTATAGAACGCTTGTAATTATAAACAGTGTGGCCACGAAAATCAACACTGTATGGTGAACTAGCAATGTTTGTACGTTAATTTACCATCAGGTAATACTAAACACTATATCATTCTTAAGATACTAATTTATTGATATACATATAGGTATTTTCTAAACTCTATTATTCATTTGAAAAAATGAGACAAGTAAGTAAGTAAGTTATATTATGTTCTGGAATGTTGGTAACATTACCTATGCTTAATAAATTTTTTTCTCCATTTTATAAATGCCACCGATGTTCAGAGAGCTTTAAAAGATTACTGGGTTACTTATTTTAGTGCTTCCTCTTACAGTTAACACGTGGCGCATTAAACCGGTGATTCTTAAAGTGGGCGCTACCATCCCCATGAGGACGGTGGAAAGATCTTAGTCTGGTGAGAAAAAAAAAGTGGGCAGCCAGAGAGTGGCAGTGGCACAGCTGAACAATCACACACACACTGTACTTGAAGTGAATCTTGCACTTTAGTGTATCGGATCCACTAGTGTTAAACCGAAAGTATACACTGTATCCCATATAGCAATTTACTCATTTGACATGCAATAGTAACACCAGAAAATTCAAACAAAGGTTGACTTTTGGGCGTTCGGGTTTTGGTTTGGTGCGGAAGGGACGACGACCTACCCAACCCAAAAATGTTTGGGAACAAAATAAGCCGTAAATAATCAAGTGCTTTTTTTACATAGCCATCTGTCACTTGTTATTGTCAACTTTTTATAGCCATCTTTTTTATTTTAGATAGTGTATTAAATTTCCAACATAATTTAATGGTCTTTCTTATGCGGAAAAAGCTTAGATTACGGCGTCATCCAGGACGCTGTCACTTTCTTTATCTTCCGCTCTTGCCGAATTTGAACAGGTTTCCTTCTGTTTAAAAATGCAATGTAGTAAAGTGAACATAATGATCAGGACTGGGATGAATGCGCAAAATACAATCACGGCAACTTGTTGCGGCAACACAATCCAGCAGATAATTACAGTTGTTATAAACACAGCAAAGATGAGCATCACATGAACAAATATTTTGCTTTGTTTGTCCTGCTGTTCGAATGGATCCCGTTTACCCTTCTCTTCCGGTTCACTCTTCTCAATGAGTACTCCTTTGTCTTCTTGACGAGTGAAATCTTCCTGGAGAGGTCCGACTAATGCACTGTTTACTCCTTCCTGCGTCTGGTCTACATTAGGACCTACTCTAGAGTTACCATCCTGAACCTTATCCTCTCCATCCATCTGAATTATTATACTCTCCTCCTCAAGCTTAGCTGCCGAATTCTCTTCACCGACAGCAGCCAATTTATCGCCTGCTTTTATCGTTATATTATAATCCGCCATCTCCAGACCGTCATCGACCGGTCTGTCTTCTGTTTGGGTACTACTTCCATCTTGCGGCTGGATTTTATCAGGAGAAACATCTTCATTGTATTCCTTTGGAAAATCCAGTGATGATTCTTCTACTGGCGAAAGTCTAGGTATTAGAGACTGGAACTCCATTGTCTTATTTCGGTTAGAAAGTCAAAACTCGAAAGACCTTGAGTTACTTGTTCATCCCACAAATGACCTCACGAGGATATGTTGATCATTAAATATGTATTTCTTTTATAAATTCTGATCAGGCACATATTTTTAACTATAATCAAGCCTGCAGAATGAATCGGATACAATTTTCATTTTTATTTTCTCCTTGTTAGTTTTTTTTATATTCGACTGTTTGCCTATTTATTTAACAGCATATTTTCTTTTAATAAGAATATATTCTTTTCAGTTTCTAACAGACATCGCATTTTTCTAGACAGTAGGAAGAATGAGCCGTGTTTGTTTGAAAATGTTGAGATTCAATTTTTGTAACGTCGATGACACCTTAATGCGTGACGTCAGAGGTAAAACAAATCACGTCAGAAAGAATTCGCATTGAAAGCATATTATTATTACATAACTCTTCAAGGTTTTCAAGATTTGTCGACCTCTCTGCCTCCGAGCAGAGAGGAACCCAGACGAGGCTATACCGTAGGGCAAAGTCTCGTCTTTGAGGTAGACAAACCAGACCCCATTATCACGGGGAATTTTTCCCGAGCCTATGGGCTCGGAAAGTCCCACATTACCCCCCCCCCCAAAAAAAAACCCGGCATTGTGCCATATCCTGGTTTGTGGGGAGGTCTCGAGTAAATACCCACAGTTAAATTGGCAGAGTAGATAGTATTTACCTGCCCCCCCCCACCTTTTACACTAAGGCAGAATGTGTTACAAGGTCTTTTTTAACGTGGGGGTGGGGGTGCCCATACACATGTATATGCATGTAGGATAAGGACAAGAACTGCCCAATCCCCGTGACCACTGTCTCGCTGGTGTCAATATTACACCGACCCTACATCTCTTAGTGCAATGAGGAAGATGCTACCGTTGAATTGGATTCATTGGGCGCTTTCTCTCTTCTCAATTGAGGAGAGAAAAGATACTACGCTTCCATCCTAGCAGTAAAGACGAACAGTTGAAATGTTTTGAATTTACAAAACACATAAATATATATATATATATATATATATATATATATATATATATATATATACATACAACAACAACCCCCCCCCCCTGAAGAGATGGTCTCAGATGAGATTGAAAGTACATGCGGAAAAATAAAAACTATTTGAAAGAAAATTTTGGTATTTTTCTTAATCAATTTTCTAAGGCTACCAATAAATTAATTCGTGAATTCGAAAGGATCAGAACGAAAACTAATCGATATATGTCTAAATTATTTAACCACACCTGTTTGAATGAAAACATTCTGCCGAAATATACACTATATATATATATATATATATATATATATATATATATATATATATATATTACATTCATTCATACAAAAACAAATATAGAGGTTAATGATTTAAATGGCGAGAATACATCTTCATAAACAATTTCAATAAATTACACTAACCCCGAACCTGTATATGAATAATATGATCCCTGTTTATAAATTCCAGAACAAATCTATTTCCATACCTGAGGATGTCTGTAGGAACAGACGAAAGCTTGTAAAAACTAAAAAAGACCTTATGAAACTGAAATTTATAAACAGGGATCATATCATTCATATACAGGTTCGTGTAACTTATTGAAATTGTTTGCGAAGATGTATTCTCGCCATTTAAATCATTAACCTCTATATTTGTTTTTTGTATGAATGATTCATGTAATTATAAATTTAACTGTACCTATAATCGAAATTATGAGTCGTAGAGAAAGAAATACTGACTGAATATCAAAATACAGTGCGCGAATGATTGAAAGGCAGGTAAAGATCATCATCAGTTCCATGATCGGGGGGGTGGGGTCTTAGGGTGACTGTACACATGAGCATCTGAACAGTTCTCTCCACATATCAGGGTTGAAAGTCGGAAATATTCATTAATGCGTAACTTGGCGGAACCCATCACTTTACAGGTCAGTCCACAACATATGTTCTCCAACTGCTAGGCTCACTTTGATCCCGGACACGCAGCCGTTGATTCCATCAGAATCTGTCTTAGCCATTGACTTCAGTCTGGAAAGCCCTCTGTCCAGCAATACAATGTTATCACCGCACCGGCTGATTAGATAGCTATAGAGCCTATTTTCCGCCAATGTACTAGATGACCGTTGATTCTACAGGAAGGTTCATCCTCCTGGACGGAAAAGCCCGGTTGTGGAACCAATTCAGTCGCCATTGACCCGACTATATCCCAAGCAGCTCTAGGTTACATGGTACAGGAAGCATTCGCAATGACTTGACAAAAGATGCCAGGCAAAGATAGGTGTAAAGTATCAATACCTTAAATTTCTATATGTTGAGAAAGAAAGGTAGTAGACAATATCTGCGAACTTCTTTGTAGCGTATCATATTATGGAATAGCTCCCCAGCTCTTCCTCAATTAGGATTACAGCCATATGTTGAAACACTAATTCCCGTACGATCAATAAAGTTAAGCAACGTCGAGCCTGGTCTTTACCTAGATAGGTGACCGCTTGGAAATACCAGGTGCTGTGAACTTGGATGCGCGAGTGGTGTAAAGGGTAACTATTATCTAAAGGAAAGAATTCTTACATTCTAAAAATATTACCTGGTTGTAGATAACCTGCAAACGGTTGATAAGCCATAGAAAACTAATTAAGCAATTCCTCAATTAGCATGTACCGTATTTGGAAGGTCGTATGACTTTTTTGTATCCAACAAGGAAAGTAGATGTGCTCCAGGAATCGTAAGTTTTTGTTTTTTTTTTTTTTTTTTGCAACATGGCGTACCGGACTTGTGTGTAAATACAGTCTTTTGTAACATCCATTAGCTTTCCTTTTCAGGGGCTCAGAGAAGGCATGCAATAATTCCAATACTTTGCCATCATGTTCTCTTTCTGGAAAATATAAATTTCACTTAACGCTCTTCTGACTTCTTTCTAGCCATGTTTTATTTATTCTATAAATATATTTTTTCAACAACCAAATACTATCAGGGTTGCATAAAATATATTTAGTAAAGCAACAATACCAATTACACGTGCAATGGCTTTTCTTCTCCATTTCTTGCAAATTCTTTGTATAGCAGCAGCGGACAGAATAAATCTCTAACCCTTTTGTTTACTTCTGACCAGCCTCACTGTAGATGTGTTGCTCGAAATAAAGTTATAAAACAAGTAATTGTGGGGAGTACCTACTTGTTTCACACGCTGCCATCACCTTGGATAAATAATGGGTCATTACGTTTTGATGGCGAGGACACCCGGAAGGAAAAGATATGTGAGAGACGCTTTTCGATGGGGCAAGAAAAAGAAAACATACACAGAAAGAAAGTGGAGAGAGAGGAGGTGATAACGTTCTTGTGCATTTAGCGTCTGCTTCGGCGAAACTGAAAAACTTGTCAGTTTTGAATCTTTTAATTTGCACGCTTTCATTTCGGTAAATAATGACCTGCATCCATACTTATTATTGTTCTTGTAACAGATGTAATTGTAATGTTATGTATTTAGAGATTCTCGATAACATACAAAAAAGAATCTGTAATATTATTGGTCCAGAGCCCTGGCATCTAGGCTTCAGTCACTTTCCCATTGCCATAGTGTACTTCCACTGTGTCTTTTCTATAAACATTTTCATGCTAATTGTTTTGATGAGCTTTCCTCTTTGATACCTAAACTTTATGAAGTTAAGTTTACTACTAGATTGGCGACAAGGTCTCATCATTTTACAGTTGAAATGGGTAAATGTAAACATAATTTCTATACTAATAGTTTCTTTTCGCTTATGGAACTCTCTTCCGGCTTTTAGTTTTCTAGTCAACTTTGATCGTGAAAAATTTAATATCAATCGTTATCTTCTATCTTCTTAATTCTTATTCTTTTATTGTTCTCTATCCTTAAGAAGGTTTTCTTTTTCTCATATTCTTTTATATTCAGTAACTCCTTGCTTCTTAGTAGTTTTAGTGATATGCTTGGGGCAAAATGATTAAAAAACTCATTTTGTTAAAATTAAGATCAAACAATCCCATAGAGAAATTTCTACTTGTACTTTACAATCGTAGAACTCTCATGGATTTTACTCAAACCTTAAATTAAAAATTATGATTCATAAGAGAATTCAAATAGGAAAACTGGAACTTTTACGTTTACTGTTAGCTTTTTTTTTTCTTGTTGTTCACCCTATATAACGTCCAAGAGGTAAAGGGTGACAGAGTAAAAGGCGTCACTGATACGAGGTGGATGTTGGTCGGAGTAAAGAAACAAATTAGATACTGGTTTGGAGAAATGACCAAAGATTTATTTTCATTTACAAGATATGAAAACGTCTCTGATAAGACGTATAGAGTAACGTTCGAATGTACGGTGTACGAGGTGTAAAATGCTAACGTGAGAAAAGAGTATGCTTAACCCAGCTGACTGCTTGTTGGCTATCGGTTTGGGCTTGTCGCGTTAATAGTGGAATCTGTTCTCTTTCTGTGTTCACAACACAGGAGGTCGTTTTCTCAGCTTAATGTTCGGACGACCAGTCAGCCGTGCTCTCGGGTAGCCTCTTTGGTTAACGTGCGTGTGTCTGCTCTGTCCGGTTTCTCTTTTAACCTATACAAGGAAACGTACGGACGTAGTTGTAGACATCTGTGGCAAGCGAGAATTGCGTCGATAATATTTGTTTGTTTTAAATTTTTTTTTTAGTAGAGTGCGTCGTGTGTGTGACTTAGCTAGACGAAAATTGGTGTTTAGTTAAAAAAGATATGTTTTCTAATAATTGTATAAATTTAGCAAATTTTGTTTTTCGGCTACACCACCATAAGCAAGGTGATAATGTGACCAAAACGCAAGGTGCTACCGGAAGTTTGCTTAAAACATGGGTGGGCAAAAAAGATTTGAAGGGATAAGGGAGAAAATGAGAAGACACAGACAAGACATGGGAGAAGAGCAGAGGCATGAGATAATGGAAAACTGTCAATATTGGAATGTCAATAATTGATATTTTATGCAAGAAATTAGAATAACTCACTAATAACTTTACAGCATTCTGTATTTATTAAGGTTTATCAAATTCCATCTCTATCCCATAATAGTTGTTAGATTTCATGTATGAACTACGTATGCAAATGTATCAATTTTTATGGAACAGCAGTATAAAGTTTTTATTCCTCTTTATATATTTTACTCTGACGTCAGTTTTTTTTTTTGTAAGCGTTTGTTTAATTTTACATATATTCCATCGATTTTAATTACCTGTAGTAATCAGAATATTCAAGAAGCCATTTTCTTTCTAACTTCGTTGTCGTCAAGGTTTAAAAATCTTTATTGTCGATGAAATAAGACCGTAAATATAAGAGTACTAAGGCTGCCACAGAGATGACGATTATGAAAATCATCACACGAAGGTGTTGGGGTAACATACTAACGCAGACACTCACAATTGTTACAATCAAAATAAATGCAACCACTAAATAAGCTGATACTTTTCGTTCATACCTATTGATAAGCGACATTTGACTTGTCTGATACCAGCATGCTCTGTTATGTCTTCGTCTTGTAATATCATCTCTAGAAATGTCATCATCAATATTGGACTCTGATTCGTCTGCTTCTGGTTTCTGGTCAACGCTAGAAATTAGCTCGTGTCTTTTGTCATCTAACTCCGGCTTAACTAATAAGACTATTTTCTCGGTATTCTCTTTGTCTTCCGTTTCTGTTTTGACTTCATAATCCCTCATCCGTTGGCCATCATCAACCGAATTGTTTTCTGCCTGTAACACTCTGTCATCCTGTGGCAGACTTTTCTGTTCTTTTTTCTCTGTTGTCGGCGAACCTTCCTCTTCTGGCATTGCTTTTATTTCGATTGAAAAGTCGAAAATCGAAAGCTCTTGTTTGATCGATTCGTTCTGCAAATCACTTTAAACGGTTGTTCATTTCATTTATCTAAATATGGATCTTTGTCGCAGTTAGAAACACTGATCAGACATTTTGACGCTTATTCGTAAAGCTATAGAACCAGCTGAAGAAATTCAAGGCAGCGATCATTGTTTATTCTCACTTGTCTAAGCTCGTGAACTTAGAAGTTGAAAAATGTTGTGACATAAGGATATACACGCTGTTTTGTGATACTGCTAGAAATGCTGTTATAGAATATTAGACAAGAGGAAGAACGATCCGAGTAACTTCTAGATTGATTTTCTTTTCTTTTATGTACAACATTGCACATCAATGACACGACAATGCATGACGTCATAGAAAGCATTCGTCTTTATATTTATTTTGTAAAAGTACAAAATTGTGGCACAAGGCCGAAAAAGGGAGGGGTAAAGGCTGGTCTTCACTATCCTATACCTAGCTAATCCGATTTACGACCCATTCATACATTACAATTTCCACATTCACCACAAGAACTCGTCCGTCACCAATCAATCCTCCATACACCATAATACTACATTCTCTCTAGGGAGATCTACAAAACGCGACCCGTGTCATAAAAATGTAATGATACTAAAAGATATATATAAAAATCTATGATGAAAAAATGAAAGGGGAGGAAGATGAATCCAATAACGAACTAAAATATTAACACAAATCAAATTAAACATAACTGATGTTAGTAGGACCCGTCCAAACCTCAAAACAGAGAGGCCACTGTATTCTGCCCATTGGACAAAATCAAGCAGCTCTCTCGCAAAGGGAGTGGGGAAAGGATAAAAAAATCATACGGGCATGGGAAAATATAAAGCTGACCCAGTCGAGATAAAAAGGGGCCAAAAACAAACTGGGGAGGTTGGGAATCTCAGGCTGGATCATAACTAAAGATGTGGCCGGGGACAGGCCGAGAACATCACTTACTCACATTAAAATAATGTAAATAGTGTAAATATTATTATTATTATTGTTTTAATATATAATAATATTATATAATAATATTATTATTATTATTACATTATTATTATTATTATTATATATTTTTTTATTTGTCCGTCGAGTTAAGAGTGAATATTCTCGTTGTAAGATTTTGGCATTTACATTTTATGATACGAAACATTTTGTATTCAGAAAATAAGCAAGTAGTATAGTAGTTCCGGGGTGACAGTTTATACCAATTTTAGTATTTATCATATTATAATTTTTGAAGAAGGTCACCCTCGCACAAAAAAAAACAAAAAAAAAAAAAAAACAAAAACAAAAAAAACAAAAACATAAATCGTCTGCTTAGGGAGATTCCTATTTATTGAAATAGCGAAATATACATGCTCCTTTTTGTGCACTTTTTTTTTCAAAATAATAATTGTATTTTTTATCCATACTTATTTCTTCTTCACATTTCTTTGAAAATATGTAACGCCGACAAACCACTAAAAACTGACTAGCAGATGTAACTAGAAGGGGAAATAGTGATATAATCAAGATGTTGACTTTCCACACTACGTTAAAAACGCAAGAAACTCCTGACAATGCTAGAAAGAGCTATAATAATGGATGAGAGGAGTCTATATTTTTTGAAAATCGGTTTTAAGAGAAAAGATTTTGATAAATTTAAACCGA